GAATTCGGCAAATTTTGAATTAAAATTGGTTTAACTGAGTTTATTTAAAAAGGCCAAGAGTATTGCCGTGTTCAGTCTACTACGACAAAATAGGCGAGGTGGACTGTTTCCACATTTCCATACCTCTGTGTCCAATCTCACCTTCAAATCAAGTACTGTGGAGAATTTTTTCTGTCTCGTTTTGCAATGGAATCGCATGCCAAGGAACACAATGCGAGCAAAGAGGAGGCTTCTGATCCGCAAGTCTTAGATTTGTCGATTAAGGTAGAAAACTGGCGTTTTGAATGTTCTCGATGTAAAAGGAAATTTTCCAGCAGTAGATTGCTTCGAGAACATTTCGTTTCAGAGCATAAATTGCCTGAACCGCATAGGTGTGATGAATGTGAAACATTTTTTGCCCACATATGGACCTTGAATAGACACATCCTGAACTATCACTCAAAGCAACCAAATACTCGACGTGATCAGAGTTACGAAATGCATCTCGACAAACCTTCTTTGCAGTCACATAAGAGAAGGTCGGATGACGAAGTGAAAAAGTACCAATGCCCAAGTTGTACGAAATTCTTTACACGAAAGCAAGGTTTGAAGAATCACGTTGATGCATTCCATTTACAGAAGAGGCATATATGTAACATTTGTGGCAAATCTTTTCCCTACAAATCAACTATATTCACACATGTCAATGCAGTACACAAAAATGGCAAAATATATCGATGTCCACAATGCGAAAGGTTCTTTTACCGAGGAGATGATCGGAACCGACATTTTCAAAACGTACATGAAGAAAATAAACAGCTTGCCTGTACTCTTTGTTCTTTGCAATTTTCCAGAAAAGTTGATTTTATTAGACATATGCGTTTTGTACATAAGAACTCGCCTTAATATGTCAGAATACGAGGTTTTAAATAAAAAAAATTCATTTGAATTATTCAACTTTTCGTGTGTGACCAGATTGGAAAAGATCACTCGTTCATTCACTTTGGTCTAGTGGTGAAAACCACCAGAGTTTGTCCAGACTGTTTCAAATTAGCAAATACTGACCACGTCAGAGTCGACTCAGAGTCGAGACATCGACTACCATAACAGTTTTCTAGTGAATGGCACTTTCCTAAGGTGGAATCCAGTTATTCATATTGCCCACCATTCTGCCCAGGAGATTAAAATGCGTCATACGGCATTTAGACAATTGAATGTCCTAAGAGATTCAAGTAGATTCCATTGACAGTTCCGAATGTTGCCATCTATTTCACCAACCTCCATTTGAACAATCCTTTGTAATGCTTAATTGGAGGGTGCATATCACAATTTAGATCATTTTAAAATGCTTCATCACGAAGTGTGGGACTGATGTAGTGCAACTAAGGGCCTTTGCGTTACACTGTGGTCACACTTGGGTGAAAGTGAGACGTGATGGATAAAGTGAAACAAAGAACAGGACAAAGAGAGTTTACCGAGCGTTAAACCAATCCTCGTAACGTGCAAAATGAAGTACGCCTTGATGAATCTGACGATCAATGAGGCACGAGAAGAGCTAAGCAGAGGAAAGTGGTAGTTGGGGCTTGGTGTGGGAATGAGTCGATTATTCGCAGGTTACTGACTTACTTTGAAGCCAAGATCAGAAGCATAACATGAAATTCGTTTCATTTTGGTGCATTTTTACAGAGAATATGTGTTTCATAATGTTATTCTCGGTTCACTTGATCATGTTAGAATTCCTTCTCTTTTCGCATTGGACAGTGTTAACTTTGAGTCATTCAGAGTGTTGGGACTAACTTCGACAGTTGCATCAAGTTAAGCCAAAAATTGGTTGAAATCTACAAAATGATATCGGCATAAACGAAATTCGATCGAAAAGTAAATCGTAAAGTAGTTAAAGAGTTTAACTCAAAATAACCTTCATTTTAGTGTTAAATCAGCCCCGATCTCGACACCACCTCGGAAACTGTTACAACCTTTCTTATATGTGAAGAGTTTAGAAGCTTTCTGTTTCATTCCGTTCTTTTAGCTATTATAATAGTCTGGCAAGGCGATTTATGCCTTACCCGAGGTAAGTCATTCAAAACACCGCATGGAGTTAAGATCCGGTGAGGGGGTGGGGTGGGGTGGGGTGGGGAATTGGGAGGCCATGCATACACTGAAACAGTAATAGTAAAATTCGCCTGATAACCACTCTTCCATGTGAGCCAAGTGGCCGAATCTTACTACTCCCACCTCTGCCACCACCAGACATATGCCCTCTTATGGATCACCCTCAGTCTTTATCCAGGACTGCAGTGGTCAACAGTTCCACTTAGGCATCTGGATTCAGCCTAAGCCCTCTCTGAAAAAGACGCTGACAGAAGCCACGCATCAACCCCCCTCGGATTCAAGCAAACATCCCCAAATCATTTATTTATATCAAATGGCAGGCGTTTTAATAGTTATCATTAGCCCTTTAGCTGACTTCGGGCTTCACAGAGAGGAGGAGGAACATCAAAGTGACAAAAAATCGAGAGGGGGGCAGAATAATGATTCATAGATGTAAAAGAAACAGACAGACAGACACAAAGGCAGGGAAAAGGTAAGATGAGTACTGTGAAAGGGGTCGAATAGGACCTACAGTGGGGTAATGGTAGTTTGAAGTCAGAAGTCAACTGCCGGTTCATAGGCTTTTTTGCCGTATGAGAATACGTTGCCCAGGGTGCACCACGTGGAGGTAAGTCTATCGCACACCCCACATCCCCAAAATATGACTTTTTGGAAAAAATTAGTCTACATGTCAAGATGAGTGCCCTTTGTTCCGACTGTTTCATTAGGTAAAGCATAACATTGGTCGATAAATACAAAATGCAATTGACTTAACTGAAATTCACCCGAGTCGGTGCCATTGGAAGTGAACTCCATTGTTCAAGCGTTAGCAGGATGTTTCAATTATCTCAGAACTTTCTCCATCTTTGTCATTTTAATTGCTATTATTTATTAACAACAAAACTGTTACTTTAAAAATTCTTGGATAGAATAGATTAATTTTCTGTCTTAATAATCTAAAAGTTAAAAGTGTTTCTAAAAAAACTTGTTTTTATGATTGTTGGAAATGCCTGTTTGAGGCTACAATAGTAAATACTCTGTAGTGGACACCAAATTGGGCCTAAAATAAATTAAATATTTTTACTTTATATTTTATATTGCATGTTCTGGAATATAACATTCTCATTAATTCGATTCTTTATTACAAATATTAAAAAATGAGATGAAAATCCTTTGTAATTAAACCATTTGAAGAAGTATTATTTTTCATTAAGAAAAAACAAGTCCATTAGCGGAGGGAAAAAATTTTATTATGATAAAATCATTTGTTGACTTTTATTAGCTTTTAGCTAATTTTCTTGATAACAGCAGGTTCAAATTTTGGAAACCGTTGAAGTAGTCCAACTTGAGTAAATAATATATTTCATTGATGATAGTTAAAATGCATATATACACGGCAGTACTGAGAGTTTTATCATTGGTATCTAGCAAAGAGATATGTCAAATAACATCGCTTGAATTTGGAGATATGCCATTCGAAGTTTACCAATCAAGCTTTCTATTCGTCAATATCAAGGTCATCATTTCAAAAATCGATAGAAGCATGAAAATTCGCGTTGGCGAGTTGTAAACAAAACAATGTGAGGCACATGGAATGCATGCATGTGAAATATATCTGACATAAGTGCTCTTAGTGAAGATTTTATAAGGTGAGCAATGGCTAATTTTTGAGCCCTCTGAATTGATTTTAATCTATTCCAGTTAATAGAGAGTGCATATATAATTGCAAAGTAACGTAGAGTTCTATGACGTCATGGTGTTCAAATCTTAAAGGGTTATTTATTCGTTGCATATTTTAATCGCTCCTCTTCGGCATAATTATGTGACAATAACATCACAAATATTTTGCGATTTTCACTTAAAAGTAGTACGTCATTTAATTTAGCATTCTTTTCCAACTATTGGCGTCTGTAAAAATTATATTTATCTATGGGTGTGTGTGTGTGTGTGTGTGTGTGTGTGTGATTATCTTCGTTGCGTATGGGCACTCCCATGCTCATACACATCAGCCGGCTTGCCTACTTTTGCCAAGTTATGCTTGCATGCGTAGGTGATCGCAACACACTTTCAAACACCCATGCTTCAGTTCAGTTACTACCTTTCGTGTTGTGATTGGCGGATTCTTATCCAACTGGAGCACGACGTAGACTAACATGTGGAAATCATGTTAGGTTGTGCCATAAGGCCAAATGTCCAGTGTCAGTGTCGCCAAAATAATGGATCCTTTCTCGTGAAAATGCCAAATCATTTTCACTTTAATTTAGAACCCCAATCATTCCCCTTTCAAATTTAATAGACAGTGTTCACAATATCGGTGACAACATGGAATTCACTCTTTTCATGGTGCCCCGATTTCAAATTCGACATTTCAATTGGCTAATGGTAACCAAAAGTACGGCGGTAGCATAATAGATGACTCAATGGATTGGGATGTCATAATGATTGGGATCATGGAGTGCGTGATAGACTTACCCCACACATGGTACAATCTGGGCAACGTATACTCATGCGGCAAAAACTATAGAAATTCAAACACTTCCACACTACCCACCTTACCTTTTCCTTGACCTTTGTGCCTGTCTCTCTTACAACTATGAATCACTCTTCTATCCCCATTCTCGAATTTTCGTGACCTTGATGTTCCTCACCTTTGTGAAGTCCGAAGTCAACTTAAGGGGCTAATGATGACTATCGTAAAGCTTGTCATTTGATGATTGGGATCATGACCTTAAATGATGACCTAAATCAAATTCGCCTCATAATTTAAGTTAGGTTGAATATTTTCATTATGTGCATTCGTTTGCAAGTATCTGTGTGGAATAACAAGTTTATTAATAACAGGAGAAACGATCCTTCCATCATGATCATTTGCCTTCAAATCTGTGTGCTGTGAGCCATTAAATAATTATTATGGCAATTTTACGATTGATCTAATGATGGATTTATACTGATTAGAAACACTTGTGACGGTGCCATTTTGGCTTGATCCCCTCTTAAAATCGAGTTCATCGTCTCAGTTTGAAATGGTTTATCATTTATTCTCTCCTCATATCCACCTGATGGCCATCAATTTCGTAGTGCATTTTTGTAGCATCATAGTGTAATGTACAAAGTCAGAATTGATAATGCTTACTGATGAAATGCTAACACGTCAATTTTGGTATGTCCTAG